TTTTTATAGGAAGTAGACTTACTAAAGCCTTTTTAAAATGCTTTATAATAACATCCATAATAAAAAGCACATTGTTAATTGTTGCTTAATTTCCTTGAGTTTGCAGCGTTGCTCGGTCAAAAAGACTTAGGAATTTGCTTGTTGTGCGAAGCTTGTCCCAGTCTACTGGAGTTAGGTATTCTGTTTGAAGAGTATTAAAGTTCTTTTTTGTATAGCTATCTACAGCACCTTTATACTGTAGAGCCACAGAAAGCATATGATACCAGCTATTCCATCTTGTACAGTTGTCAAGTGGAATTAATCTCCCAGCCAGATCTTTAAACTCCTTTGTACGACCAGCTGAACCACGAATATGTGCAGTCACAATATTGTGAAGCTTTCCAAGTGGCCCTATTAAACGAAATATGGCCTGTTTTTGTATATTATTAATTTTATTACCCTTTACTTCTCCTATTGCTTCCTCCTCATCATACGAGCTGAGTTGCTCAAACTCAATTATGTCTCGAAACAGGAAGGCTTGTACAGCCAAGTTAATAACATGGCCAATACAAAATATTCGCCGATATATAGGATCCCATTTAATCCCTTCTTCGTCTTTTAGATATGTGGCTAATGTACGGCAAAGCTTATTATTTGCAGTGTGATTATCACAAATAATAGATCCAAGCTTTTGTACAATCCCATAATCTTTTAGCACTGGAAAAAGAGTAACAAATTGCTCCTCTCCACTATGATTTGCCACTATACAAAGACCAAGGAGAGCTTTTAATAACTTCTCTTAACTTTGTTCAGGGAGGGCAACGATTAATCGAATCGCCGCCGATCGATAATCGATTATTGACAGCCGATCATCGATCATCGCCAATAATTTCTTGGCGCTGTCATACAAAAATACAGCAAGTATTTAACTGTTACGGCCTACGAAACGGAGATAGAAATAAAGCCAAATCAACGTAAAATATCTTTTAAACTTCTTCTAAAACACCACTTGTTTGCCAGTGTTTTAGGCATTCTATCCTCTCAATATTCTGAGCTGATAGCTGCGCCCTTTCCCATGAGATTGTACGACGTGCTCCTGAAAAGACACGCTCAGGTTCATCACTCATTGCTGGAATTGATAGGATATCAATTGCCATGTAAGAAAGCCTTGGCCAGCGCTTTTGTTGTTGATCCTGAGACCACCATGTAAGAGCACTCGTACGAATGTCATATGGAGACTCAGAATTATAATCTTCATATTCATCCTGGCTTGCAGGCCGAGCGAACTTGCGTAGGTCTTGAACAATTTGATCAAAGTCATCAAGATCTTGACTTTGAGACAGGTTCTTTTCATATAATGGTACAACTATATGAAAAGGTGCCCTTTCTCGATACTCTTCCCAAAGCTTTTTAACCTTTTGCAGTGCAGGCTTTTGCCAGCTCTTTCTCCAATTGGCCTGAATGTACTTTGTACGACGAGCTGGGTGAAGAATAAGTGCTGCAGCATAGAGAGGCGAGTCATCAGATTTGCTGTAATACTTGTCAAAGATATCCCAGCCATTTTGAATCCGAGTACAGAATTCCTTATCTAATGCATGTTCAACCTGCCATATATATTAGAATAATCTTGTTATGTAGTAATTAATGTAGTAATCAATGTAGTAATAATGTAGTAATTAATGTAGTAATCTGTTATATTTTTTATAGGAAGTAGACTTACCAAAGCCTTTTCAAAATGCTTTATAATAACATCCATAATAAAAAGCACATTGTCAATTGTTGCTTGATTTCCTTGAGTTTGCAGCGTTGCTCGATCAAAAAGACTTAGGAATTTGCTTGTTGTGCGAAGCTTGTCCCAGTCTACTGGAGTTAGGTATTCTGTTTGAAGAGTATCAAAGTTCTTTTTTGTATAGCTATCTACAGCACCTTCATACTGTAGAGCCACAGAAAGCATATGATACCAGCTATTCCATCTTGTACGGTTGTCAAGTGGAATTAATCTCCCAGCCAGATCTTTAAACTCCTTTGTACGACCAGCTAACCACGAATATGTGTCACAATATTGTGAAGCTTTCCAAGTGCCCTATTAACGAAATATGGCCTGTTTTTGTATATTATTAATTTTATACCCTACTTCTCCTATTGCTTCCTCCTCATCATACGAGCTGAGTTGCTCAAACTCAATAGTCTCGAAACAGGAAGGCTTGTACAGCCAAGTTAATAACATGGCCAATACAAAATATTCGCCGATATATAGGATCCCATTTAATCCCTTCTTCGTCTCTTAGATATGTGGCTAATGTACGGCAAAGCTTATTATTTGCAGTGTGATTATCACAAATAATAGATCCAAGCTTTTGTACAATCCCATAATCTTTTAGCACTGGAAGAAGAGTAACAAATTGCTCCTCTCCACTATGATTTGCCACTATACGAAGACCAAGGAGAGCTTTTGATAACTTCTCTTGACTTTGTTCAACAAAGTGAGCACAAATCCCAAGAAAAAGAAGCCGATTTGGAGAGGTCCAGATATCAAGTGAAAGGTGAATACTTGATAAAGCAGACTGAAGCTTTTTCCGTACAATATCCATCTGTGTCTGCCATAATTGTTTGATTTTTCCAGGGACTGAGTTATGTGCTGTAATAATACAACTCTCTGACTCAGGATTAAGCACTCGGCAAAAAGCATGAAACTCAGGCCATTCCACAACATGAAATGGAAGATTCCGTACAACAATTAATGAGACTAATGCCTCATCAATAACATCTTGATTTAATACCTTTTGAAGGACCTGAGAATCAACCTTTTCTGTTTTCCCTGAGGATGTCAAGGGCTAAACCTCTATAACCTAATAACTAGGGTGGATACAAAAGGAATCGTCGAAGAGGAAAGAGAAGAGGAAACAGCGATGAGACGATTGCGAAGTAAGGGGGGGGAAGTCACATGATAGAGTGTACTAATCAATATACTAATCATGTGGCAGGCGAGGAGAAAGGAAACACGAGGGCTGAGGGCCCGAGTAGGCTGAGGGGCTCTAGCCCCTTACAGAGGACTCTGCTTCATGATAAAGTTGCTGTAATCGATCCATTGTTGTTTGTTGTAGTGTGCTCAGGATTGGGTCAATAATAATCTGATGCTTTGACCGGAGATGATTTCGCATGTTGGTAGTAACTGAAGTTCCGTACGGCGATCCAGTACAATGTACACAATACTGGATTGAGGCGTTTTTATAAAATTGGGCCTCCCCATCTTGTGCTGGACGTGTATGAGACCATGTTAGCTGCGCTGTGGCTGTTTTCCCCTTTTTAACTGCGTTTCACATGAATCTACCGTGGGCAAAGGTAAAAGATTAGATGAATCTGCATCAGAATCCATTTTCGTACGATAATATAAAAGAATATGAAAAAGATAAAGAAGAAGTCAAGAAAACTGTTTATAGCGGTGTAGATAGTATAGGCGGTGAGAATCTGCCAATTATCGATAAATAATCGATCGATTATTGCCAAGACCGATAATCGATGATTAATCGATTAATCGGTGCGGGAATTTATCGTTGCCCACCCTGTATTTGAGTACTACTCTCTACCTACGTTATTGCAGGCATGGGATAGCTACCATCATCGTTAAGCACATGGCCTGCCTCACCTGCTGGCTCAGGTTCATGGCTTTTACGCCGTTTCTCCAACGCACGCACATTTAATGCTATAGTCTGTATCTAGGCTATCTTTATCATTATTAATTGGATGAGTTGCACCCTGACTCTGCTCTGCATACCTTAGCTCTTCTACTGCTTCGTGCTCTGTCATGTAAGAAACGCCCGTAGCATACGCAAGCTACTCTCCTTCCTTTTCAAATTTTGCTGTACTAATAAACATCATAAGCTCCTGATTAGTTGATGTATTCAGGGAGCCACGGCGGTAATGACAAACATCATGCGTACAGCTAAAGAGTCTCTCGACGCCTGTGCCTGTGGCATGGATTGAGAGAACATCCCGTGCAAGACTAGTAAGTGCTGGGAACTCTTATCAGTGGTCTTCCCAACATGCCCAGGGTGCAGTGGGTTGTGGACCTACTATATAGCAATAAAGAACTCTTCAATATAAGGTGAATACTTACTACTTCCAAGATGCTGTGCAAGGCCATCTTTTTGGAATAGAAGTGATTCCTATTGTTGACTTGGATTAAGAAGAAAACCAAGCCCGTCATCCTGCGAATTTAATTACTAATAAAGAGTGAATAACTGCAATTGCTCTTATTTGTGCAGATAAAAGCTCTGTTTCACCTGGCTTTATACACCAAGCTGCTCCTGGAAACTTGCAAGATTTATGGCTTTAAGATTTTAATTCTAATAGCTAACTATACGCGCTTCTTTGCCTTTTCACTTACTAGCTGGTCCAATGAAAGCATCCGGGGTAAGAGAGGCAAAAGTAGTTAGCCCATCTGACGTAGCGGAGCGTATGTCTTCGCTAGGCAACTGGATAGACAATGTTGAGTAGCTGATCTTTTACCTGAGATGGGAGTTTGGCTTTTTGTCATCGGTTGTGATCCTTTTTTTTTTGGCTTTTTTATTCTTTCCTTTTTACTAAACATACGGCAAGCAAGTCTGAAGTCTGTATCTATGCTGTCCAAGCCAGGGGAGTCCACAAAAAGCAAAAAAGCCCGTAACAACTGGAGTTGGGGATACATGTTGGATGGATTTTGCTCATAGTGCCTATTGTAGCCAGATAGGTGTTTGACTTGAGAAATAGCTCTAGCACAGGTGTGACTATAGATGATCATGTTATTGTATTACTATAGAATTTATAAGAATATAGTAGCAATCTGCATCTTGACACAGCAAACTGATTTAACAATAGTTATCCATGTCGACCAAGAAGGAGGTATAAAAACACGATCAAGGTCCATCCTAACAAATGCGGATATTTCCTTCTCTCATGCGGCTACAGCTTTAGTACAGTATCGATATCCTTTTCAAATCTTAGAATATCTAGTCTGCAGAATAAAAGAATTAACTATCCTGTCAAATCGAGTATTGTATGAGCAGCCAAGCACGCTGGAAGCCATGGTCATGATTCAGATTTTTAATTGTCCAGGGCTTCGTAACGTCCAGTCCCTGCTTGAATTGGTACGTCGAGTATTCACCCAAAGGTCCAGAAGCTTCCGCTTTCGCAGTGATTCCGTTTGCCCGTATCTGCGGGTTGGGGCTGTCTGGCTTGGGTGTGATTAATAGAGTAATAGCGCTCGACTTGGTCGCGGTGCGTGCCCAGAAAGGTAGCCGTTGATCAAGATTCTGTAGTGTCGTCGTTCCCGTCGAGCACACCTGCTGCCATTCGGACGGATAGTCATTGGCCAGGTCGACGGCCAGCACCTTATCCACTCGCCCATACTCTGAGCCAGGGGCAGGGATGGTGGGCTGTTTGGCCCATTTGTTCACGGCCGTGGATGCACTCATCTCCAGTAGGCCGCCAGCCCCGAACGCCGTATACCGCAGGTGTAACACGACATCGGTAATGGAGCTGTAATCGAACTGCCGTAGTGTCTTAGGGAGTGAGATGTGCCAGGTTGAAATAGCGCCAGCGCCCTCGAACGGTCCGTATTGCTCGTTGCCCCTGAAGTCAAGATCCAAAGCGCCCGTGTCCCGGACGCCGCTGCTCACGGCGATAGAGGTGATAGGGATACGGTCGGTTCGGAAAGCCGCCGCTTTCTGGGCATCGTATCCATCTGCGCTGGACGAAATGCGATACTTGTGTTGGTTAAGACTGAGTGTGCAGCTGAGGTTGGTGTTGGCGCCGACGATGCACGGGATGGAGACGGCCACCGAGACAATGCGCCGGCAGAAGTGGCCAGGAAAATCCAGATCAAACAGCACCTCGGGGATATCAAACTCTGCGTCGCCCTTTTCCTGCAGGGTGAGGAGGGCCAGTGGATTAATCTGGCGGAGCGACACGGTCTTGACCATTTCATAATCGTGCGTGTTGCTCTCCCGGTATACGGCCTCTATACGCTTCAGGTCCAGCCACAGTGCCTGGCCGGACAAAATACCGTCCGGCGATGTCTCCCAGTACCCGGCGGCGAGGGTTGCTGCCGACGAATCCGACGGGCCACTGGTCGTCGATCGGATGGCGAGTTCAAAGTCCAGCGCCCGCTTGGCCGTCTTGGCCATTTCCATTGCCATCAGGTAGGTCCGGTGAAACAGCGTGCACATGGAAAAAACAACTACGCACCCTCCAACCCAACCCCCACATTTGGGGGTATTGGGTACTGATTCATACGTCGTTTTACAGCCCTTTTCAAGCTTAGTCACTTCTCCACTTTTCTTGATACAACAGTCCAATCGCGTTCCGTGTTTTGATGAAAAAAAGACTGCGATTTTCGTGTGAAAATTTTTTTCGTGTTCCCGCACTCCCGAGCTCGGGCTGCCTGGAACCACCAACAACGCAGCTCCCGCGTTCTGCCTCCCGTTACCGCCACCCACCACCGAAGCCCCCAATACAATTCCCAATACCAATAACGCAACGCTCGAACACCACCAACAACGCAGCTCCCGCGTTCTGCCTCCCGCAACCGTCCCCCCCGCCACAGCCCCCAACAACACCAACCCCGATACACCGCAACGCTCGAACGGTCCCTGCGGAACACCCTACCAAGGAAAGGAAGCCCTATAAGTTTACACTTATACCTAATCCCGCACCTACTAGGGGGTTCAAAGAACTCCTAGATAAGCCTGTTACTATTACATGTGATTGAAATTTTGATATCCTTGTGATACTTTTGGGCCGCTACTAGTTACAGTTCTCTAGGCCTCTATAACACCATCACTGTCCTGGAGAGGGATAAGAGGTGGGGACCTAGCTGCCCTGCATACCATAGCAGTTATTTTAGCCGGGTATTCTGCAAAAACAATAAAAACCGTGCTTTTAGTTTACCACTTCTCTTTAAAAAGGGGTGAGATTTTTTCCTGCGTTTTACTCCACCAAAAACAGGAAGCTTGGACTGCCCTGTAGAATTCACTAGTAGAAAGCCTAAGCTTACTTGCAAGAAGAAACTGTGAGCTGTATCCCCAGTACTACGGCTCCTAGCAATATCTTTCTAAAGCTGTTTAGCTTAGATAGGTATAGGAAAACTGGTGCTGGACCAGAGATATAGGGAACAGTAGAGTTGAGCTAGTACGCTTACGCTGGTTTTTCGAAGCTTCCCTTTAAAAAAAGCTTTTGTGGTTTAGAGATTCCCTTTAAAATCTCTACTTACTAGCTAGATCCCTAGCTAGTAAAGTTTTAGGATCCTACCTGGTTTACTTTTCTACCTGTTTATTTCTTTTTTTTTTTTTTTTTTTTTCCCTTGTCTATCAGAGAGAAGAATGGGGTCTTTTGAAGACCCAACCACCCCACCTAGGGACTCGTCACCCAACCCATCGCAGCCACCAAGCCCCAAAAAAGGGACCAAAGGCAAAAGAAAACACTCGTTCATCAGCCCAAAGGCAAGACTTGAGTTTAGGCCTGATTCCAATTCTCCTCCTGAGAGCCCTAATTCCTTTGCGTCATTAAGTCAAATGTCTGAAGATGAAGAGGTGCTCCTTAATAAAAAAAGGAGATGGAAAAAAGCTTTGCAAAAACAAATAGAAAGTGATGCCAAACAAAGTTATATCCAAAAACTTGAGTCTGCAAAGATCTTACTGCAAGAGATCCACCATAGTTTAGCAAATGCTAAGATCCTTGAAGCTCTAGATATGCATCTGGAGGGCCTCTCAGCTATCCAAGACAAATTGCAAAATCCGGAAGCTAAAGGATCCCTGCTTTCCAAAGACAATCAACTTCAAAAACTCCAGAAAGAGGTTAACGCTATTAATCAAAAACTTGATAAAATAGCCCTAGCCTCTTCTCAACCAAAGCAAAACCAGTAAAGCCTTCATACGCAGCAGCAGTCCAAAAAGGAATAAAACCGCAAGTAGTTATCCCAACCAAGAAACAAGATCAGCCAAAACGGGTAGAACAGGCCGCCTACAAAGGTAGTAGGCTTATTCTAGAGGTTTCTGCAGAATTTCTGCAAGACCTAGACTCCTTAAAGCTCCGAAACCAAATCAACCACCAGTTCCAGATAAAAGAAAAGGTAGACAAACCTATAGTAAGGACAGCAAGCACTTCCTTTACTAAAAGGACCCTTATCCTCACCACAATGGACGGTATTCAGGCGCCTTATTTAATAGAGAAGCTGGATGTCTGGAAACCACTTATCCCCTATACTAAGTGGATGTTTGATGAACCATGGGCAAAAATAGTTATTCACATGGTCCCCACCAGGCCTTTTGAAACCCAAGAAGGCATGCAGATGCTCAAGGAAGAGATCGAAATCTTTAACCCAGGTCTAAAACTAATGAGGCCCCCAACATGGCTGACCCCAGAACATGTCCGCGAGACCAAAAATCACTCCTCTATTGTAGTGGACGTGCAGAATGAAGCCATGGCATCCAAGGCAATTAAAAATCAACTCTGTGTTGCAGGAGCTTTATGTAGAGCTACTAAATATATAGAGAAAACTGCCCAATGCCAAAAATGCCAAGGATACTAGCATATTACTCGTATACTGCAAGAATAATCCAAAATGCGCTATTTGCGCAGAAAGGCATGAAACCCAATACCATGAATGTTCCACATGCGAAGTAAAAAGCCAGGAATGTCCCCACACACAGGTTAAATGCGCTAATTGCAATCAAGCCCACAGAGCAGATAGCAAAAACTGCAAGGAATGGGAAAAAGTCAAACCAAAACCAAGGCCTAGGCCTACAGAAAGACCAATCCCAAACAGTAACATGGAATTAGATTACTAATGAATCAGAAAAACACTGATTTAGGAATCTATTTCCTGCAAAATAATACTGGACGCAATCAGAATGCTATGTTATCTTGCTTAGAAATAGGCCTGGAGCTTAATATCGACTTTATTATCATCCAGGAACCATGGATAGCGCCTGATAATAGCTTTACTATATCCCACCCAGCATACACCCCAATCCTCCCTGAGCAAACCAAGGTTAGACCTAGAGTAGCAATCTACCATAGAAAGCTATCTAGGTTTAATTATTGCCAAAGAAACGATATTAGCACTGATAGTGATTTGCTGGTAATAGATATCTTAGGTGCAGAAATCCAAGATCTGCAGCTAATAAATATATATAACGAGCAATCACTAGAGGAAGGCGCCGAGTGGACAATAGAAAGAGCCCTAGCTAGGGTTACCCCCTCCACACATGCAGTAATAGGGGGACTTTAATGCACACCATAGCTGGTGGAACTCAAAGACATTATCACCTACCAGGGCTGATACTTTGATTAAATGGCTTGAAGAACATCAATGTGAACTGCTAAATAAACCTGACCTGCAAACATGCCATAGAAAAAAGGAATGAGAAATGTCTCTGTTATTGACTTAACCTTTATTACCAAAGGTCTAAATCAATATAGAGTAAATTGGGAAATTGACCAAGAACTCGCCTCGGGATCAGACCACGAAATTTTGCTTTATTCTGTTGAAGTAAAAACACAAGAAATTGAAAACCCCTGGTCAGTTTACCATATAACCTAAAATGGCAAATTGGGCATTATTCAGCAAGAAAATCCTCGAGCTAGATACAAGCCAAGAATTCAGACAGGGGAGCTTTAATACCGATATAGAGCTAGAAACCGCAGCTCTAAATCTGCAAGAAATAATTCAAATAGCTGCAGATGCTAGTATCCCAAGAAGAAAACCATCTGCCCAGTCAAAAGCATGGTGGTCAAAGGAACTTAAAATACTAAGGAAACAGCTTGGAAAAGCTAGAAAACTTTGGAAAAATAACCCATGTCCAGAGCTCTACGAAAATCTTCTAGAGATTAAAAATCAATATTTCCGGGAGATTAAGCAAGCTAAATCCGCATGCTGGAACAAATTCCTAGAAGAAGCTCGGAACAGGGAGATTTTCAAAGCTTTTAGCTATACTAAAAAGAGATCTGTTCAAAAACTGCCTATCTTGACCTATTCTATAGAGAATCAAGAGAAGCAAGCAATCTCCTTTCAAGATAAATGTCATGCATTTCTTTCCACCCTGTTTCAAAAACCCCCGGAGGCTAAGCCCATTGAGTGGCCAACCAACCAGGCAGAGTCAACCAACTGGCCAGAAACCAGGGAAAACGAGGTGTACACTGCTATCTTTAGTAGCTCTACAAAAAAGGCTCCTGGACCTGATGACATCTCATTCTTAATTATTCAAAAGGCTTACCAAAATATTGCTCCGAGATTCCACGAGCTTTATAAAGCCCTAATTAGAAATGGTTATCATCCCAAATGTTGGAAAACTGCCAAAGGGGTTATTCTTAAAAATCCGCGTCTGCTAAAAGGGACTACTCCAAGCCCAAGGCCTACAGAGTTATTTCCCTGCTTAACTGCCTAGGCAAGGTAGTAGAGAAGATTATTGCAACTAGGCTATCTTATCTAGCTGAACTCCCGCAATCAATCCTTTACCATGACCAAATGGGGGAAGAAAAAGAAAATCAGCAATTGATATAGCACTATCCCTAGTCCATGACATAGAGGTGGCAAAACATAATAAAATGGTTACTACAGCTCTTTTTATAGATGTAAAAGGAGCTTTTGACCATGTATCTACCAACCAGCTACTTAGAATATGTCTAAAACTAGGTCTTCCACATAACCTGATCCGGTGGATCAAATCCTTTATGTCGGACAGGAAAGTGTTCCTAGCTTTTGACGGTGAAACCAGCAACGAGACCCCAGTGCAAGTAGGGATCCCCAGGGATCACCTATATCACCCATCTTGTTCCTTATATATATTAGAGAGCTCTTTCAGCTTGAAATGTATGAGGAACTAGATAGTGATACAAGGAAAGCCTTTGGAAATACCCGAAAGCCTAGCTATATGGATGATATATGCCTTACTATTAGCTCTAATAGCCTAGAGAATAACTGCAGGCAAATAGAGCTGGTAGCCAATGCCATGTTTAAAAAAAGGAGCCAAAGACCATATCCAGTTTGACCAGGATAAAATAGAGCTTATTCACTTTAGCTCTAAACAACCAGACCAAGAAAACCAAGACATCCAGGTTAAACTAGATAATAATATCATAGTTAAACCAAGCCCTATGGTAAAATGGCTAGGAATCTACATAGATTCTAAACTCCTTTTCAAAGAACACGTGCAAATACGAGTTGCAGCTGCAACTAGGGCATTTCACCAAATAGCGAGGCTCTCAAATACAGAAAAGGGGCTAAGCTTCCAAGCTATAAGACAACTCTATATAGCATGCATTTCGTCTATTGCAGACTATGGAGTCCCTTTATGGTGGAAAGGCCAACAGTACCTAGTAGACCACTACCAGAAACTGCAAAATACAGCCCTAAGGAAAATTCTAGGGACTTTTAAAACATCGCCTATACAGGCCATGGAAATAGAAGCATCCCTGCCCCCACCATTAGTTAGATTTAATAAAATCTGCAGAAACTATGTACTCAGGACTGCTTATTTTATAAAATCCCATGCAATCCAAAGCAGACTTCCAACCACGTTTACGCTAAACCCGGGGAATTTGCCATTGACCAATCAAGGTTTTAGACTGGAATGAGAAACCTAGACGGCTAGATCTAGAAGACCCTGAATACCATCCTAGAGAGACACAAAGAAAACACCCTAGCCAGTTAATTCGACTGCTAGCACTTTTCTTTTTAAAACATGGAAAGGCACCTTCCAGACACTAGATCACACCCTACCCCCTGGTCCCAGCCATTAAACCAAATAATAGATATATCTATATCTAGCAAACCAAAAGAGCAAGCAGCCCAGGAACACAAGGCGCTAATATCTCAATGGCTTGCTGGTAGAGACAACCACAAGATTATCTTTTATTCAGATGGATCCCAGCTGCAAAGCGGTCAAAATGGAGCAGGAATCTTCCTCCAAGAAAATAATCCTCAAAATCAAAGGCTTGGGCATGGAATCTAGGTCACGAATACGAGGTCCACGACGCGGAGCTATTTGCTATTCAAAAAGCATTAAAACAAGCATTTAAGACTATTCAAATTCCAACCTTAGATATCTACATCTTTTCAGACAGCCAAGCAGCCTTAAAAAGGCTTCAATCAGCGGACACCAACTACGAGCCACACCAAAGAATCTCTAAATGGGCAACTAGGATTAAGGATAAGAATATCAATATTCATATTCACTGGGTTCCGGGCCATCAAGGAATTTTTGAAATGCTAAAGCTGACGAAGCAGCTAAGTATGGGGCAGAATGGACAAGTAAATACCATAAGTGCCCTATCTCAGTTAGCCATCTTAAACGAGAGCTTAAAGCGAAATGCCTTGAGGATTGGGATAAAGCATGGGAAAATACTAAGAAAAGTGATCAATACAGGGGCTTTAATTCCATAGCTTCATGGAAGCCAAACCCCCTAAGGCTTCCCAAGCAGACCTGGTCAACCATCATCCAATTAAAGCTAGGGCACGGCTACTTCAGATCATATTTAGTTAGAACACCTAACTATAACGAGTGATATATGCACGTCATGCCACAGCAATAAACCTCAAACTCCATACCACCTACTCCTCCAGTGCCCGGCAACCAGGGACATCAGAAAAGGGTCTATAGAGACCCTAGACAAAAAAGACCGAAATTTGCCTTATCTTTTCACGAAGAAAGCAGGGCAAGAACAACTGATCAAATTCCTAAAGGAAAGCGGGATCGCCACTAGAAAGTGGCTCTTGGATCCATAGGGAAAACAAAAAGAAAAAGCAAAAATAAAAATAAAAACAGTGGAAATTAGCATGTTTCAACTCCTTATTTAAGGTCCCCCCCACCCCTAGAATGTCATATTGCTTAGTTATGTTTGATTTTACCCACTATGTACGTATCTGTTTGTTAGTTTAAATCCTACCACCCAGGGGTGGTAGGTAGAGCATGCATAGTCTCTGACTGAAAAATGCTCTATAATATGGAAGAATAATAATAATAATAAGCGTGCACATGGAGTTGTCCAGGCGGCTGTACAGCTCATGGCTTGTGTATTTGGTGCGCAGCCACTCGTCCTCCGCGGCGGAGTTGTCGATCTCCTGTTGCGTGGCCTGGATGTCGGCCTCGGACGTGTCTAGCTGCGCGTGCAGCTGGGCGAGATTCTTGTCAATGCGGACGAGTTCGCGCCCGATTGTGTTGGCTTCTAGCCGGCGCTCCTGCAGCTGACGGATTGCCATGGCCTTGCGGCCGGCCTTGTCGGCATCATTCGAAGCGCACTGGCTGCGTGCTTTGAGGACCCCGGCCGTTGCTTGCAGGATATGCCCAACATTCTCTCCGCCAAATGTCGCATCTGCACCCGCTCCAAGCGGTTGAACTTTGACGCCCACGTTGGGGAAGGCAAAGGCCACAGAGGCAGCAGTCTCAATCGCGATGGCTCCCAGCGTGAAGTCGGATGCCTCGTCGGCCTTGCTTGTCTCTTCCTGCTCGAAGGGAGACATGCGGAAGTCGTCCATCCGGGGCTTCTCAATGTTCTGCGGAATATCCTGCCAGGTTCCGCCGGCCGCCGGGATGTCCTTGGTGTCGCTGTCGCCGGTTAGGGCTAAAAAGTACGCCAGCCGCATCTCTTGTTGCTTCCGCGTCTCCTCTAGCACCTCGATGGCTCGATTTACCTCGGCCATTTGCCGCTCCTTCACTCGCAGTATCAGTGCAAGCACGGCCCGCTGATGACTGGACCTTAGCAGGGAAAGGGCTTCTTTGTCCTTACTCTCCTGGATGCTCAGCCTTTGCTGGCCCGCGGCTTTCAGCTCGCTCACCAGGTCCAGAGCGTAGGAAATTAGCGCGAGGAAACGATACCGGGGCATCGGGTTCTCCAGATCACGGAGGAAGCCGGCGATCCCGCCGCCTCCGGGGCCTTTGGCTCGCTGGAGTGCTCCAGGATCGATCGGCGGTTCAAACAGCGGCAGCGTCCGCTTGCGCCCGTTGATGTCCATCCCGTTCCGGATTTTGAACAGCCGGTCGTCAATCAGGGCGCGGAGGGACACCAGCTGGGGATTTCCCTGGACGCAGAAATAACCTGTCTTGAGGAAGCTGCGTGGTCGCTGGTTCATTGGTGTGCTGGCCCCGCGGTGCCCCGGGGCTACGTACAGTCCCCGGCAAAAGTTTGTATAATTTGTTTGCGGGGCAACCCAACCATGGTTCACCCCTCCATACAAAAATATATATATCTTGCAACACAAAAACAATTATATTGATTTGAATGTAGTATATGCTAAATAAATGGTAAAAATTCATAAAAATATGCAAAAAAGCAGAAAAATTACTTAGTATTTTGTATACCACCCTTTTGCCTCCAAAACTGCCTCAACTCGATCTTTCATACTCTTTATTATTGCGCTTTGAATATCTTGACTGATCAAGGTCCATGATTGCTCTAAAGCTTCCCATAGAATCTCTTCCTTCTTATCATTCGATCCCTTGCAGTTTTCAAATGTCCGGATTTAAGTCGTAGACACCTTCTTTAAGTGGAAACCACATGTGTTCAATGGGGTTCAGATCGGGCGAATATGGTGGCCATTCCATGCAAGGAATTGCATTATCTTGCAACCATTTGGTAATCTTTTTGGCAGAATGAATGGGAGCGTTGTCGTGCATAAAAACATAGCCTGGTTCCCAAATAGTAGGCAACATCTCGTCCAATAGAGCAAGATATGACTTTGCAGTATACCCATGCTTTTTAGCTTCAAAATCACGCTCCAAACGTACAAGATCACTGCGATTTTTACCCCAAATAGCTGCCCAGACCATTACCCGGATAGCCTTGCCCTTCTTGTATGGCTGAATGTATTCCTTTTTCCACTTTTCACCATGTAAATTAAGGCGAAACACATATTGGTGGCGCTGGCCGGATCCAAGCTCAACCGAGCACTCATCTGACCATACAATCTTGTCCCAGTCGCTGTCGGTATAATCTTTATATTTTAAAGCCCAATTATACCGTAGTCTCGCTACTTCCGGTGTTAATTTGGGGCGTTTTTGAGCTCTCCATTTACTATATCCTGACTCTTTAACAATCCGGTATAGCGATCGGTGCGGAATCACAACCCCAAGCTTTTCTTGTACCTCCTTATAGGTAATAAAAGGATTTTCTTTAATTAACCGGATTACCAAGCGTTTGTCTCTATCTGTATAGATTTTCGGCCGACCAGATCGTGGGTGGGAGTTAAAATCCTGCCTTGAAGATATTCGGTTCAGCGTGGCATAAATGGTTGGGAGGGGTCGATTCAAGCGCTTTGAGATTTCAAGAGGTTTTACTCCACCTTCATAAAGGCCCTGTATATAAGCTCTCTCAGTTTGATCCAGCTCACGATTGCGCTTAATATTATTGCTAAAAGGACTCAAAGGAGTCCTTTTTGGGGTCATGGTTGGTGTTTAAAGAAATGAGGTTTTTTGACGCGTTGGTTGACGCGACCGGGTGCTTAGCGCGATTATGAGGACTTTTGGCCAAGAACTATAGTAGGGAAAGTCTAGTTCGAGGTCGACGGTGGCGTTGGACAGCGCCGTCAGGTAGTTCTCCAGGTCATTATAGCACTTGACCTGGCGCTTCCCCAGCTGCGGGATCTCCACTGGCTGCGGCCCGAAGACCTGGGATGCCTCTGTATACATCTGGATCGCCAACGGGATGCTCTCCAAAGTGTCACGCCGGAAATACTCGTCCCCCATGGCGATCATCAGCTCGACATACTTCATGGCGATCCGCTTCATGTAAGCCACTGGGTACGACCGCGCTGCCGCATGGACATTGCCTCCGCTTTCGTGCCACTCACTGACCGACGTCTCCTGATCCGGAGTGTAGGCCGGCTTGCGGACGCTGTCTTCTCGGAATGGGGGGAAGGACCAACAGCGGTTAATGTCGGTGCCGTCCATACTGGGGTCGAAGACCAGGCGGATCACCTTCAGCGCTAGCTTAAACTGTTGGGTGGCCATCAGCCGCTCGACAATCAGCGACGGGATATGGACGCCCAGCTCCCAGTTGTAGATAGCAAACGGTGCGGCCCGTTCATGGTAGTGAACGATTTGTTCCATGTCCTTCTCCTCGACCCAACGGCCAAATGCGTCTTCGTGGGGATCATCGACAGGGGTATCTTTGTGCTGGACTTGCTTCAGGCAGTCGTACACATGCTCTAAACCGTCTTCCCGTCGAGCACTTTCAACTAGCTGGGGGGCCACCCTGTTGAACATGCGGTCGACGCGGAAAAAATGGGTCTTCTGGAGATCAATATATTGTTCAATGCTAGTGGAACTGGACACTTCCAACACCAGTGCGCTGGCATAGTGGGGCGACGGGAAACTGAAATCCATGAGCCATTCACACTCCGCAGAGGAGGGGAACGTCGGTGGATTGCCGATGTGTAACGTGACGTTTTTGCCCTTTTCATACTCAACAATCATCTTGGCGGTGGGGTCCCGGGTATTGCTAGAGTAGCGGGAAAACCTGGTCGGGATAGTTTTCAAAGTGGCGGTTGTCACTGGCTTAATTTCAGTTTTGGGGAGGCCATCCTCTTGTTCGACGAGGATTAGCTCCTGTCCCCGGAGCTGAAAGTATCCCAGGTCCCAATGAAACAGCTCTCCTTTTTCATCCTTGGCCGTCCATTCGGCCGTGATCGTCAAAGGGTCCTTGTCCTCGCCATTGTGTGTGATCCGAAACTTGAAATCGGAGACGTTTGGGGCGTCCACATCTGCTGGGACCTTGATGACGGACCGGCAGACCGTTTTGGGGGACCATTTCCCGTTGCGCAGCTCGATAAAGCCCATGCGTATCTCTTAGAAGCGCTCCGGATGCGCCTGAGAGATCTTCGTCGTCCCTTCGCCAGAAAAGAGCTCTGAGAAAGTTTTCTCGCTCACAGCAGCGTTGTCCTTCTGGCTGGCGATGATTTCAGGAAGAAAGGCATAGAGACGTCCGCGCTGGACGGCGGGGATGATATACGAACCCGGCCTTGCCAGCTGCTTCCCATCGGCGCCAGTTTCCTGCACGGGGACGTCGAGGTTCACCCGAGTCCACGAGGACCAAGTAGGCGTGTACGGGAGCGCGGGATCCATGGAGATAACAGTATTCCGGTAGTAGAACACCGGTGGCGACGTCCGAGTGCAGGCGAAGAAGTGGAAGTAGTCATTATCCGGGTTCTTCTTTCGCTCAATCACGTAGCATTCCACGCGCAGGTTGGCAATCTCATTGATGCCGTGCACATAGTCCTTGACGAGACTCGCAATGTTCTCGCGGTCCAGCTTCGCGTGCATCACCCTCGACTCTAGCGCCTGGAACTGCTCGGTCTTGTTATCGCGTAGCGTCGGGTCGGCCCAGTTCTCGGGATACAGGTAGGCCTTGCGATCCGCCTCCCAGAGCCGGTATCGCAGCATGTACTCCAGGTCAACCCGATCCAACACCTTGGATCCCACATGAACTTCGACCCCGAGGGCGCATCGTTGGGCGAACAGCTGGACCGACGAGATGGCCTGCTTGATGCGCGAGGTCCGCAGCCCGGCGCCCATCTGCACGTCAATCAGGAAATGGCCAAAGAGTTGGTCCGCTTCTCGCAGGCCATTCTTCTCGGCGTAAGGCGTGGCCAGCAAGTAGTGGATCAGGGCCGCCCTCTGGCTGTTTCGAATGCTGTCACTGGCATCCGCGAGCGCCGTCCGGCCGCCGTTCGAGGGAGTGGGGAATCGTCTCGATTGGATAGCCACGCGGAGGGCTGCAGCATTCGTGAAGTCCGCCTGAACAAGATCCGACCAAGCTGGTCGGGCCATGTCAAAGAGCGACGCGAGAGAGAGGCTGGGGAGGCCGAGGTCCCGAACGAAGAGAATCGCCTCGTGCATCTGCTGGAGGACAGCCACGTCTCGAAATAACTGCACCAATCGTGCCCCGTCATATTGAGGGTATCTCGATTGGAGATACTCCGTGCACAGACCCTGGTTCCATCCGGAGGCGTGGGCCAGGTTCTGGACCAGTGCCTGGCGGATCTTATCGGGGCTTTCGTTTCTTTCCTGGGAGAAGGAAAATAGCCATTTATAGAGCGCCAGCAACGGAAGCGTGGCGCCATTGCGCGAGAACGAGTCCCGGAGCTGTAGGTAGTCCTCCAACACCTTGATCTCGCGCAGGCTCAGGTCAGTGAACTTGATCCTCTGCAGCTGCTGTCGGGATCGAGTGACGAATTGGATGATGCTCCCGAACTCTACCTCAGCGGCATGAAGGCGAAATTGGTCGACCAAGAGGGAGATCCGCATCAGGTCGACCACGACTACCGCGATGAGGCTGACCGTCGCCTCGGCCAGGAGTTCACTTCCTGTAAAAGCGAGTGGTCGACTGACTTGGCTTGCCTCTCCGGCCCGCCAAGATAAGTCATCAGCTTTGCCCTTGTAATACAAGTGGTACCAGCGGCCCCCGGTGAGCGGCTGGGTTGTGGCTGCCCATCGCGGTTGCCGGTCGTCTGTTTGCTCCCTGAACTTGAGCTGTGCTTCGTCCAGCACTAACTCTTTCGGTTCCTCGTCCGCTGCAGATAGGATCTGGTAGACGTCTGTAGTCGGCGGGCGGAAGTACGCAGAGAGAGAGTCCTCCGTCTGCTTGTCGGGATTACAGAGGTTTATTAACGCATCCATCCCGGACAATTGGGGGTTGGTCTCGAGTTGAACCAGCTTCTCGAGCGAAAATCGCAGTAACGCCATGCTAAGGCCGGGAAAGAAGGGTGTCAACGACTTGAGGACGGCCTGGCACTGCTGCTCGCGATATCGAGCAGAGAGAAAGGCCTCGAGGAAGACCTCCAGTCGGCCTTCACCAGGAGAGGCATCGATGATTTTCTGGCAGAGATCCGTGGCCGCTGTGTTCCCGATGACGGTGCTCAGCTGGCCGATAAAGTACTTGGCCTCATCGCTGCCGATAGGGACCTTGTCGGTTCTGTGAATAAACTGTATAATTTTCTGTCGGGCCTCAGCGTCGATGATGATTTCGTCCAGCAGGCTGACCAGAGCATTCTCGCCATCCATCCTCTTCTTGCTACCTTGCAGCGTGTAGTCATTCAGACTGGAGCGGACCGACTCGACGATTGTGATCTGCTGGTCGACGGTCGTCCGGCACGCCTCATCGGTCGCACTGGGGGCCTTCTTAATCACAAAAAGCAGACGGTCGAGAGTCCAGTGGCTCATTGTCGGCAGCTGTGGCAGATAACCTTCCACGAGGGCCAGCGTTGTGCACGGGTCCAGGAAGGGGTTAAAATTTTCCGAATACAGCATCAGGAGCTGGGAGTATGCTTGTGGAGGTATATTCAGGATCCTGCAGAGCAGTGACACCCGGTAGAAGGCTGATACGTTGGTCAGAGTCAGCTTGACTGGCGGCGACAGGCGCAAAGCGACTCTGATCGAGTCAAATTCGTCCGTCGTGAGTTTCAGCGCCATCAGGACGGTGGCCAGCAGACCATCCACATCGTCCATCCCTTGGGACTGCGCTTGCACAACGTGGCCGTCATTACCCAGTGCGAGCGCTTTGCGAATTTCCTTTGGGAGAACCGCTGTCCCGAAGAGTTGGTTGTAAAGCGAGTTCGACCCGTGGGTATTAATATCCCCCCAGAATGGCTGGAGCTCGCTAGGGGAGCGCCTAGTGAGATCCGCTAATCTTTTAACTGTTGCGAGCTGGTCGAGAACGGCAGGCGTGAACATCAGCTCGCGGTCAGTCACGAACGTCATTGTCACCGCATCCAGCTCCTCCATCGGCCATTGCAACTTGCTGTGCAGACGCAGGAAGGCCTGAAGCCGGTCGCACGTTGGCGCTTCCAGCGGTTGTATCTGCTGTGTGGCGTCGTTCCACTGGCGGAGACGCATGTAGATTAGCAGCTCTGATGGCTCTGGATCTTTCCCGTCGGGCTTTTTCTTGATTTCGATGGCCAACTGCCCTCCTACGTACTTGGTCTGGACGATGCTAAGCAGATCCTGGAAGGTGAGACCGCTCCGAGGAAGTAACTCGTCTTGGATCTTGGCCAGACCCTTATCAACAGTGGGATCGCGAGGGGCCATGTCTTCATCTGTCGGGAAGCCCCAGTACTGGCTGCTGGGCTTCTTAAGGCCAATCATCTGTTCATACTCGTCTGGAGACACAGGCGTCCCACGGAGGTCTCCCACCAGTTGAATAGGGTAGAACCCTTCCTTGGCGATGGCTACATAGTCTTCATGTTGAAGATTCAGGATCTCAGCAGAGAGAGCATGATCCAAAGTCCGATTGATGTCTGCCACCAGACCCTCGTCCGTAGTGATCGAATAGGGAGAACGAAATGTCAGTAGCAGGCGGGACCGCGAGACCGCGAGGGAGCTGAGATACGCTCGGCTGCTCTGGACGGCCTGGTTGTAGGGGAATGTGTGCAACGGGGACACCACCGGCTGGAGGATTTGACTATACACGTCGAAATTGGTGTTGTGCGGTTGCATCAAGTTTCCCTCGTCAGTATCATGGTCGGACGAGTCGAACGGAGGTATCAGTGGTTCGCCGCTTCTTTCCAGGTTCCACACCACTGACTCGAGCACCTCGTTCACCAAATCGACATAGGGCACCAGCGTGTTCGTGTTGGCGCAGGACAACTCGAGTTTTCCCAGGTCGGGTCGACGCTCAAGGAGCTTCTGCAACAGGGAGCCACTATTTTCCGGGTGAATTCCTGACAGCTTGTGCAGCAGGTCCACGAAGAAGGCAGCGGGCCCTGTGAGGGATGCGCACTCCTCGCAGCCCATACTCCCCAAGCCAAACATTGTGCTTAGGTTGATCTCCTCCCGCTTGCTACTGTCGGTGCTGGATGTAGACAGAGATTCTATAGCAGCGACAGCAACGTCCATACGGCTGCCCGTGCCGCGCAAGGTGAGTGCCCTGGTTGCGAGATGCTCGTTGCGGGACGCAATAAAACGAGCCTGGTTGCAGATGCGGTCTGCCCGTTCGCGAGGCACGCCTTGATCGACAATGCAAGGCACAGAGCGTGCTCCCCGCCGGGCAATGTCTTCAGCAGACACATAGCCACACTGCATAAGGGCACCAACATCCACAGGCTCATTTACCAGAGCCTGCAGTCGCTGCAGTTTGCATATGTATGTGGTCACCGCGGACCGCTGCTCGTGCGGCACCCCAACGATCGTGGAAAGATTGCTCTCGTCGTCAGGGTCGTCGATATTCGGGAACAGTTTCCGGATGGATTGCCTTCCGATGTCAAAGCTGATGGTCTCACCCGCTGTACGTAGGACGGACAGAACATAGTCTTTACACACCGGAGGGAGGACCGGGATTATCCCTGAGCGGATAAGTCCTAGGAGTACTGCCATCGTCTCTTCTGTGAACAGCCGGTGGCAGAATGAGGTCCAGGTGCTCTGGCTGGGGGCACCGGGGCCGTCGGCAGTGATCGTGATGATCCGCTCCGCGAACGAGCGGGTTGAGAATGTTGCAGCCTTCCCCAGCATATCCGCCAGGGTTGGCTGCGCGAGACAAAAAGCAAGAAGTGGGATAGAGTGGCTACTGAGCTGGTAGAGCCTTGCAAGGCCGTCCAGTTTGGTCTGATCCTCGCCGGTCAAAGCCGGACTGAGGCGCACGGTATCGATGGCTATATCGAGCGAGCGCGTAGTAGCAAGCTGGCCCTCCAAGAGGCCAACCAGGCTCGACGGCTCGGCACCAAAGAGGCGGCCAATGACCCCCGAAGAGAGCTGACGGAGGTCAGAGTCGGAGAGGGCAGTAGATTCAGCAGTCTAGGTCAAGGAACCGTTAGTTAGCCCTGGAACTGGTATTCAACGACCCCCTGGGTTAGATGTAAAGCAGACACACCATGATTTAGCGGTTAGAACAGTCCATCTAGAGGAGGTTAAGTCACAAGAGGAAGACCTGGGGAAGAGATGGGCTATCCAAACTCACACAGGCTTGTCTTGTCTGTGGGTCGTGGTTTCCCTTATGTTGATATATGTGGCTGTGGCTGCTTATTCCAAATATGGATGCAAAAAGCAATTACTGCGCATATGCTGCCTGGAGCCCTGGATGCTTAGATGTAAGATTCAGCTCGCGATCCAGAGCAACGAGTGTCCAATAACTAGCTTTCTTCCCTGGGAATTCAATCGGAATTCCCATTGGGGACCAGATCAGCAGCCCTCCCTCCACAAAGTTTTGAGTCCTGTGGCTGACTCTATTATTGGCTGCATAGTTCCGTCAAGGTCAAGCATGCGCGCCCGGAATGCTCGGAAGACAAGTGCGGTCCGCTATTCACTACAAGCAAGGAGGAGTCTGCGGGAGAAAGACAAGGAAAGAATGATGATGCAAATAGGGCGCCGTCCAAAGCTGGAACGACAGGCAATAAACATTAAGAGTGAATGAAATGGTGAAGGTACTACGGTTCTCCCCACTTCCACCAGTATGATTAATTCCCTCACCATAAGACCGTGGCTACTGCTTTGTAACTCCAGATCCCCTCAACTTCGACAGGTTTCCCGTGTAAGGAATGTACAAAAGTACTGAGGTAGGTATGACAGCTAAGTTATATGGACTAGCGTACATGTATCACTATTTACACGTTGCTTCAGGCCGTCGATGACGGACTAGTCCTGCTTGAAGCCCATTTCCATTCCAGCGCACGAAATATCCTACTGCAGTGCCACCCGCTATCCTCATCCAGTGTGAACCCTTTTATTAAAGGAGATCATGTGTCGCTTAGGAGCTGGCTGCATAGCGAATTAACAGGCAAAGAGTTTGAAGATCAGCTCCTGCATTACGCAACCCAGTGTCCACGTCACGTCAAAGCAAGGGAAAAAAACGAAACAAAATTCTACACGTATGCGTAAGAGGAGACAAGTAGTGAGGCATTTCATAAACAGGGAACTTCGGAATTGAGGGGCTCGACCGATAGGAAAGCACCTGGTTGGCATTAGGAGAGATAGGGTCATCATTGGATAGGGTCTCGTGCTACAACCTTGCCAGATAGACGCTGTAAAAGGACTGACCTGGTCCCGCAATTGATTCTTAATTTTACTACTTGGAGATCTTTATAGTTAATAAGTTTGGCTACTGAAGAACCAACACGATGGGCTGTACTACCAAGAACCCAACAGCACACCCAATGCAGAAGCACCAATTCCAGTCGAAGCAGCCTCCCACCGATGATAGAAGCCACTACGGTGGGAGCAGCAGCGGCCAAAATGCCCCCGGCCGATTGATGGTGGAGGGAGAAGGCCGTCGCTCTGTGCGCGAGAAGTTCAACGTCGACACACAGACCGGAGGCGTGTCCTTACAGGTTCCCATCCAGACTTCACCAGGATGCAGTGGGTTCGGGTTCGGGCCCTCGTTAGGCCTGGCATATAGTTCCGGGTCGGCAGCCGGCAACGGTGTGTTTGGCCTCGGATGGCATCTGAGCGGCGCGGAGGCAATCTCGCGCCAAACCTTGAGATCCATTCCAGTCTATAATAATGATACGGACTCCGTGCACTCCCGTGTCGGTGAGCTCATACCTGTCGTTGATGCAGGTGGGTGCTTTGTAGAGACCATCCGTGGAGCTCATCGGATTCGGACATACCGGCCACGAGTGGAGGGCGATCCGATGCGTATCGAATACTGGATCGAAACAGACCATCCAAACCGCATTCACTGGAGAGCCATTACATCTGAGAATATCACGACCATCTATGGGAAAGTGGAACAGGCGCGCATCTCCCGGGGTGCGGATGATGGCGGGGCAGAGCGCACCTTTTCCTGGCTGGCGTGTGCGACGTACGACGGTCAGGGAAACGAGATTGTATATGAATACAAAGCTGAGGACGAATCTGGAGTTCGACCCGAGCTGGACGTCTGTGAGACTAGTCGTAGTGGCCAGGTGCGATCTAGGCAGCGGTACCTAAAGTCCATCAAGAAAGGGAACACGCTGCCTAACCGCGGCATGGACAGCTGGCGAGTCTTGCGCTCTGCGCCGCCGGACCAACACTGGATGTTTCAGGTTGTTTTGACTACGGCGAGCATGACGAATTTGTCCCCTCCCCTGGAGATAAGGGCATATGGCCAGTTCGCCCGGATCTCTTCTCCGTGTGCAACGGCGGGTTTGAGTTGCGCACATATCGCGTTTGCCGTCATATTCTCATGTTCCATCACTTCGAGAAGGAGCTAGGCATGAAGGACTGTCTGGTAGCTGCCACAGCGTTTCAATACACATCGGACGCAACGTCACAAGCGACTTTCCTCCAGTCCTGTACAATACTGGGATACAGTCCTACAAGCCAGGCTGGTGCATATGAGAGCGTGTCCCTCCCACCCACCGAGTTTAAATACTGTAAGGCTCTCGAACTCGAGAAACTGCAGGCAGAGGAGCTCCATATCAACCTCTCGGGACTCTCCATGCAAGGAGCACAATGGGTAGACTTCAATGGAGACGGTGCCCCGGGAGTGCTGGTGGATATCCCCAGCGCAAGGTAAGCACGGATGCTGTGGATGACCTGATTGTAGGGGAACATAGGCATCGGAGATACCTGCCGCAGGATAATCTAGCTGTACACCTGGACGTTCGTGCTTCGCGGTTGCATGAGGCAGCTCTCACTCGTCTCCTGGTCGTCCGCGTCGAACGGTGGGATGAACGGTTTCCCTTCGACGGCTAGATGCCACACGACCGACTCGAGCACCTCGTTTACAAGATCAACGTACGGAACGAGCGCTTTTGTATTCGCGCAAGAAAGCTCCAGGTTCCCCAAGTCGGCTCGCCGCTCAAATAGTTTGTCCAGCAATGTCTTACGGTCCTTGTCGTTAGGGATCCCTCCCAGTTTGTGCAGGAGGTCGACAAAGAAGGCTGCTGGCCCGGTGATCGATGCACACTCCTCGCAGCCCATGCTATCCATATTAAACATGGCGGACAGATTAATCTCTATCCCATTACTCAGTTCGCTCCCGAGTGGAGCTGCAGCTGCAAGGGAAACATCCATATTGCTGCCGGTTCCGCGGGCTGCGATTGCTCGCGTCCAAAGCCGCTCGCTCCGGGATGCCACATACAGGGCGTGGTTGTAAATTTTTTGGGCCCTCTCTTGTGGTACACCATTCTCCACCATCGAAGGTACTGCATTTCCGCCGCATCCAGTAATTCCCTCTGCCGAGATAAAGCCACACTTTACCAAAGCGTTGATGTCCTCAGGCTCATTCACCAGTGCCTGTAGCCTCTGCAGATTAAATAGGTACACGGCAACCGCCTGGCGTTGCGCCTTTGGTACCCCGGCCAGTGTAAAGATATTAACCGTGCCGGATTCTTCATCGTCCACGTCTCCCACGGTCGCCAGAAGCTTCCGGATTGATTGCCTTCCGATGTCAAAGTTAGCGGTCTGGGTTGCTACCCTTAAGATCGAGATGATGAAGTCCTTCTGCTCGGTGGGTGCCGAGATCACGTTGGAGTAGATGAGTCCACGAAGAACAGAGGTCGCTTCCTGGGTGACAATCTGTTCGCGCAGCCGGACCCAACTCCCCTCGCAGCTGCTCGTGATCTTTGGGCTTGCCGCTGGGATTGTTATAATGCTCTCTGCAAGGTCCTGTGGGCTAAATACACCCTTGGAGAGCACATCAGCCAGCTGAGGCTGTGAGAAGCAGAAAGCCACGACGGGGCCCGAGCAATTGCTGAGCCTGTATAGCCATTTGACTGTGTCTAATTTGGCCAGATTCTGACTGGACACGTCGGGGTCGCCACGAACAGCATCAATGGCAGCCTCAAGAGAGCGCAGAGCCGCAAGCTGGCTCTCTAGGCGGTCTACCACACGTTTTGACTCGCCAAAGATGCGGGAGAAAACTCCCGAGCAGAGAAGATGGATGTCAGCATCCGAAATAGTGGTTTCAGCAGCCTGATTAATAGATTATTAGAAATATCCCGATACTCTTTTTAGCGCATCCGTCGAATTAGGAATTCGCATTCGGCGTTCTGGCACTTTCGTGTAGCGCGAAGGGCCAAGAGACCTACCATAGGTTAAACAATTCCAACCGGTTTGAACCGGGTATGGAAAATTAAAAGGATATTGCCCGGTTTAGCGCTGGTTACAGGTCAAGCACTTTTATTGACTAGCATATCAATAAGGAGCAACAAGGAGCTACTCCAAGGTTGCATGGCTAATTTACATACCTCTCCTCCAACTTATTTCGCCTCTCACTGCGAATCCCATTATACTAGGATAGTTAGCCATTAAAGTTCTAAGAAGTATGGTATCCACATAGCGCCTTACTTTTTAACCCAGAGTTACAATCGCCTGATAATGTTTGTGTGCGTTACGTCATAAATATACGTCAAGTTGACCACACCACATACACTTTTTTTTTTACACTTCGTCTTTCTTTTCTTTTTTGTCGCCAAGTCGCCGTCCTATTCTCGTTAGAGCAGCAGTCTAGACTCCCGATTGGGGCTGATACCCTCGGCATGTGTTACTCCCTGGGTCTGTATAGGATAACCAGTGCATTATTCCACATGACACTATTATTACCTGTTTCGGGATTTACCCGGATCACAACACAGTTAACCGCTATATATACTAGCATACCCATTGAAAAGTACTATATCTAGGAGGTACTGGATAACGCGTTCTGATCCTAATAGGGACGGGAACGGCATTATATAGTGATTTCGGATCCACCCCGGCATTAGAGTATGCAAGAAGTGTACCCAATTTGAAGAGAATGTCGCCCGCCCGCCGTTTAAAATGTGGTATGTATATAGGCGATAGGGTCATTTATGGATGCGGAACCAATAAAGCTATTGGAGCAATCTGGCTCTAGAACGTGAGGACCAAGATCCAGTTCCAGATTTTGCTGACAACCACAGTGCTGGCTGAGAAAACAGGATTAACAGCGCGGTGATCCAGTCTTGGGATATATATGGTAAATAGTCCCTGGGCTTTCCTGGAAGTATGAAATAGTTATTAAGTAAATACAATACATAAGTGTTCGTTGACTATTGCCGAAAAGAACGATGTTGCATTTGGGTAACGGCACCGAGCGCCCGCCACCTGTCCCGAATTATCTCCGGTCAAAAATTAGTTTTTAATAAACTTTTGCACTAGTTAATGGACCGTACCGGTCCCAATCCCCCCACATCAAACGCTGAAAACAGCCAAAGCTTATTCAAAGCTTTAGGTTCAGCCATAACAAACCAAGATCAAGTTGAAGGAATGTCGACATTATTGAATCAGTATTCCAGACCTTGCGTGACACAAGACACGCGGTAGGTTATCTGTCATTCTGCATCCGGACGGGGTGGTAGGCAATGAGCTGTGGGTGGTCCCTTCCGTAGGGTAAGTGCAGAGACAACCTGGTGTTGGATAAAAGTTGACCAGAATTGGATGGACATCAGATGCGTAAATTGGTTACGAGGCCGTAGAACTCTCAAACTAATCAAAGGTGAAATCCGAGCTACGTGATTGGACTAATCAACCTATGCTATCGCCACTCTAAAAAGAGCGATGGGATGGTGATAACCTGCGTCTGCTGCTGATTCTAACACTCTTAAATCCAGAACAACCATTACCCTGTTCTTTATCATCATCTCTTGCTTCGCTTAAGAGTCCTGTTGCTATACCACTGGCTATTATTCTGCAGAATGGCAGGCTCTTTGCCACGTCGCCCGTTCAAAGCTGAACAACCAGCTGCGACTGCGGACGGCCAGAGCCGTACAATAAAGGGCAGCGCAAGCCCAAACTTTCCTATTCAGTTGATGGCAGACGGAGATGGCCATCGCTCAGCACGTGAGAGGTTCAATGTGAATGCCCAGACGGGAGGGGCCTCGCTGTCTATCCCCATTGAAACATCACCTGGCCGCAGTGGGTTTGGACCATACTTAAACTTGGTGTACAACTCCGGATCGGCTGCAACTAACGGGATTTTCGGGCTTGGATGGCAGCTGGACGGCGTTGAGAGCATCTCGCGCCAGACGTCCCGATCAATCCCTTTCTACGAGGACAACAAAGATTGTTTCGTCCACTCGCGTGTCGGCGAACTCGTGCCTGTTTTAAATGGAGAGGGCATTTTCGAAGAGGCTTTCCGGGGTAACCATCTGGTCCAGCTGTATCGACCGCGGGTGGAGGCCGACCCGATGCGGATCGAACGGTGGGTCGAATCGGACCGCCCCGACCGTGTGCACTGGAGGACGATCACGTCCGAAAATGTCACGGTCATCTATGGAAGGACGGAACAGTCACGAATATCACAAGGCGCGGAAGATGATCCATCGGCGATGGAACGCTGCTTCTCCTGGATGGCGTGCGAGATGTACGACAGTTATGGAAACCATATGATATATGAATACAAGGCCGAAGATGCCTCGGGGGTGCAGCCCGAGCAGGATGTGTGGGAAGCGCATCGCACCAACCTTGTTCGCTTTAGGCAGCGATATCTCAGGTCGATCAAGTACGGGAACATGGTCCCAAACCGCGACCTGGCCACCTGGAAGGTGTTGGACGCTCCACCCCCCGGTCAAAAGTGGATGTTCCAGGTCATCTTGGACTACGGTGAATATGACAAAGCCTGTCCCACCCCAGGAGACCCTGGCACGTGGTCGGTTCGACCGGATCCATTTTCGACTGGTGTCTGTGGCTTTGAGCTTCGCACTTACCGCCTTTGCCAGCGCGTACTGATGTTTCACCATTTCCCGGACGAGTTGGGGCGCGCGGACTGCCTGGTAGCCTCCACCGATTTCACATACCGAACTGAGCCAAGATCAGAAACAACCTTCCTGCGGTCATGTACAATTTCAGGTTACAGTCCCGTCGGTGACAAGCTATACTCAAGCTTGTCATTACCACCGACTGAATTCGAATACAGCGAACCCCCAGATCTTCAGGAACTGAAGGCGGAGAGTTTTGGGCTCAGCTTGTCTGGACTCACTTCACAAAGGGCGCAGTGGGTAGATCTCAACGGTGATGGCGTGGCGGGCGTGCTGGTGGAGATCCCAGGCAGCGGCTGGTATTATCACCGCAACCAGAGTGATGACGAGAAAACAGAAGTCAGCGGCCCGATACTCGTGCCCACCGTTCCCAGCAGCGCGGATTTGAGAGGATGGAGTTTTGAGGACCTGGATGGTGATGGCCTTCTTGACTTAACATCCGTCTCGCCGGACGGCAGCATCCGAGGATGTTATGAACGTCTGGACAACGGGGAATGGAAAAGTTTCGTCCCATTCAGATCATACCCAGTAATGCGCCCCTTCCAGTTAAGCGGGGCTGTCTACAAAATCGACCTAACAGGCAACGGACGCACCGACATGTTGCGCATGACTCCGGGTGAGGACGGCGAGCTATCCTGGTATAAGTCGTTGGGCCCGGAAGGGTATGGAGAAGAGCAGCGCACGATCGGAGCGCCCAGATTCCCAGCTGAGGAGACGGGGTCGATCTTCTTGCGTGACATGAATGGTGACGGACTAACGGACATTGTTTGGGTCCGCAACGGCAATATCACCTTCTGGCCAAACCTAGGCCATGGAAGATTTGGCCCGAAAGTCATTATGGGTAATGCACCCTTTCTGCCGGATGGAGGGAGTTTCTCTCCACACCGCTTTCGGATGGCAGATGTAACCGGATCTGGGGGCACCGATCTTATATACATGCTGCCCGAGGGTGGTGCTCTGGTATTCTACAGTCGCTGGGGAAACTGCTGGACTGATGGGCACTTATTGCCGTCCTTCCCTCCATTGGACAGTTCCTGTGCTGTAGATGTGTTTGACATCAGAGGGAATGGCACACAGTGTCTATGCTGGTCATCAGATCTCCGTAGCGCTACCGCCGGCGCAACAGCAGTCCGCTTTATGGACCTCATGGGCGGACGCAAACCGGGTTTACTAACGAAGAGTTCCAATGGAATCGGCGGGGAGACGGCGGTCACATACCGGTCGTCGACGCGCTACCGTCTCGACGACGAGCGGGCTGGCAGACCTTGGGCCACGCGTCTCCCATTCACCATCGACTGCGTAAAAAGCACCACCTCGGTAGATCTCATCGCACAGACCTCGTATACAAGGTGCTACGCTTACCATGACGGATACTACGACCCAATCGAGCGCCAGTTCCGCGGCTTTGAAATGGTTGAATTGCGAGACTCCGAATACTGGATAACTGACGGTGGACGAAAACTCCAGCGACCGCCAGTGCTGACGAAGCAGTGGTTCTTTGTCGGCCTGGAACGGCTAGATGAGGCGATCGACCTTCCCGGTAGCCTAGAAGTCGATCGGCCCAGTGAGCGTCCGTTATCCAGCGCGAGGATACCGGCAAACCTGACTGCGGAAGAGACACGACAGGCTTACAGAGCTCTCGTTGGCTATTCCCGTCGACAGGAAATTTACTGCGAGGATGGATCCAGCGACTTCCCCTACACGATCTCGCAGCAAACGTACGACGTGGTGGTGCACCAGAGGATGACTGCCGGACTGCAGCACGCAATCTTCCGTGTCAACAGCCGGGAGAAAATTGAAGCACAGTACGAAAGGAACCCAAATGATGCAAGGATACAACACACGCTCGCATTGGAAACAGATGACTACGGGAACATTATGAAGGCGGCTACCATTAACTATGGGAGGTTGGATAGCGCACTACCTCGACCTGAAGACCAGCAGAAACAAATGGAGACGGTCGTTATCTATGCCGAAACCAGCTATACAAATCCAATTCTTGATCAGCGGGATTATTTCCAGGCCCCGCTCGTCTCTGGAGCCACCCAGTATCGCGTGTATCCTGGCACACACCTGGAAGGAGCTATAATCGATGGGCGGTATGACTGGGAGAGTCTGGCAGCCGACCAATGCAAGCTGCTACAGCAAGCAGTCGATATTCCGGTGCATGAAAATGCCAAAGACCGGATACAAAACATACCTCACGAGGGGTATAAGGCGCTCCTGTTGCAAACCGTCACCCTATACTACCAGGAAGACCTCAAAGCCCCCTTGCCTCAAGGCTGGCTGGATCCATTCTCTCCCCGATACCAAAGCTACCAGCTTATGGCCACCACCGAATTGCTCGAGAACACGCTGAAAGATGATAGCGGGCTTCTTCTTGAACCAGACGCTCTGGAGCGAGAGTTACAACATGGAGGTTACATCCAACTAGATAATAGAACTAGCGAGTGGTGGACACCCTCACGCCGGAATCATTTCCAGGACAATAAGGGCAGTGATGCGCTGCAAGTGGCACGGTCGCAGTTCTATATTCCAAACATTGAGATCGATCAATTTCGGAATACTTCAATTAAAGCGCTCGATAAGTACAACCTGCTCCTTGAACAGTCTCAAAATGCCGTGGGAGATATAACCTCCTTTGTCAACCACTATGCCCGATTACAACCAACACAAATTACCGATGAAAATGACAATAGAACACAGTCCGCGCTCGATCCATTAGGGCGTCCAGTCGGGGTCGCTGTCATGGGGAAAATTGGGGAGAATGTAGGAGATAGCCTTGATGGATTTGAGATACCAGTAAAGCAGGAAGATCTAGACAAACTCATCAACAATCCATCGCCACAGGTGGCTGCAGAGCTTCTTAAGAATTCAGGGAAAAGGACTGTATACGTCCTGGACCGATACACAACAAGCCAGGAGCCGACTTTTTACATAGAGATCGTGCGTGATACACACTACCGGGATGGACCAACGAAGATCTCCATACGGATCACGTACATCAATGGTAATGGTGGCACAATCCAGACTGTAACCCTTTCCGACAGAAAGTGGCAGTTCAGCGGCTGCTTGTTACGCGACCGCAAAGCCCAAACGGTAAAGGAATCTTTGCCTTTCTTCAGCCCCACCCACCACTTCCGTCTCCTAACTGGCAAGCATGATGCGCCAGCAACGACCTTCCTGCGAGACCCTCTTGATAAGGACGTGGCAGTACTGAACGCTGATCACACCTGGAGTAAGAATCGATTCACGCCGTGGGCCAAAACCATGTTTGATGCCGGTAACACAGTGCTTCTAGATGATCCTGCGACAGATCCAGATGTGGGGAGCTCCTTCCAAAAGCTCGAGCGCAGCTCATACTACCCTACGTGGTATAGCCAAAGAATGAAGCCTGGGACCCCTGAGGATATGAAAAAAGCCGCCCTCAAATCAGAGGTCTACAACAATACCCCAACTGTCGTCCACGTGGATCCACTTGGACGGGAGATTCTCCACCAACGTGTTAAAGGGCAGCTCGATCCACAGAGTATTTATGAGGATCGAAAGGAGTATGACGAGCGCGGTAACATTTTAGTTCTGACCGACGCGCTTGATCGCATTGCAACCAGAGCCCAATACGATCTGCTGGGGAGACCGTTGCATGAGATCAGCATGGACAAAGGAGAAACTTGGATATTCCCCGACTGTGCGGGCGCCCCCATATTCTCATGGTCCGGAGGTGGCCCCCCTAAGCATATCCAATATGATGCGCTCAGGAGGTCCAAGATAACAGAAGTGAAATTAGATGGAAGTCCGGCGTTCTGGGCTCAAACGATCATGAACGTATATGGTGAGGAATGTGGACCGGACGCTGCCAAGTTCAACCTAAAAGGAAAACTGTACCAATGCAGGGACCAATCTGGGATGCAAACAAACCATAACTTTGACTTTAAAGGCAACTGCCTAGAGTCATCTGTTCTATATGCCGAGGGCTACAAAGAAGTTTTGGACTGGTCCAGGGGCGATGTTCCAATAAAGCCTACCAGACACCAGACCCAATCTTCATTTGATGCCGTCAGTCACACAATATCTACTAAGTCTACGGGTTGCGATGGGGTTATATACAAATACGATGTCGCTGGCCGTCTGAAAAGTCTCCGATTAACCTCCGCAAAGGATGACTTGATAACACCGTTAGTTGACGACATTGAGTATTCAGCGGATGACCAAGTGACATTGGTCTATTACCACAATAAGTCGGAAATAGTTCACAATTACAATGACCAGACTCGCCGACTCACCACCACTATGATTAAGAATAGCAAATCTCTGCAAGATATTTCGTACACGTATGACTGCCTGGGGAAATTGGTCATAAAGACGGATGACGCTGAGCAGACCATCTACTTTCAGAACACTGTCGTACGTCCTACACAAGAGTTCTCGTATGACGCCTTCGGGCAACTCCTGGATGCAACTGGTCGCGAGCAGGTCAACACTCCCAGTAATGCACCAAACCGCTTGGTACCCGTTTGTCCCGGGCATAGACGACAAAGCGCAGTGCCCGGCGATGGGAGGCAGATGATCGAATACTGTGAGCGGTATAAATACGATTTGGCAGGGAACATCTTACAAATGGAACACAAGCCCCTGTACAACAGCGCGTATGCGGGGTGGACGAGGGCATATCAATACCAGGAACCCAGCTGGGTGGACCCAAACACGTCAAATAATCGACTAACTAGAACTAAGATTGGTGTCAAAACGGAAGAGTATAAGTACGAGGGAGAGGCAGGACGCGGTGGGTGCATGACCTCCATTCCGGGGTATTCAAACTTGAGTTGGGATCACAACAGCCGGCTACACTCGTTCTCTGCACAAAAAGTCGGGCGAAGCGGTACTCCCGAGACAACGTGGTACGTTTACAACTCGCGAGGAGATCGAGTACGCAAGGTTACGGAGAGGGCAACAGGACCTAACGGTCCGTCGACAACAACGAAACTAAAAGAGACGCTGTATCTTCCATTATGCGATATATCCACTACCTATAGCGGGGACGGAGTCTCGATGTCCCGGAAGATAACCACCATGAAATCTGGTGCTTTGAGTGGCTCCCATACACCAATGGTCATTGTGGAAACCACGGTCAAGAGCAACCCCTCATCCGAGCAGTGCCTGGTGCGGTATCAGATGAGTGAGAACCTGGAGTTGGACGATCAAGCCAACGTGGTATCCTATGAGGAATATTCCCCATATGGAGTCAGCACATATCAAGCTCGGAAGACAGGTGCCCCCCGCAAGTATCGATTTGCAGGCTACGAGCGGGACGGCGAAAGTGGACTATATCACTGTGGCGAGCGGTATTATGCATGCTGGATAGGGAGGTGGACATCTCCCGACCCGTTGGATAAAGTGGAAGGCCTCAACCTTTATACTTATGTTGCAAATAACCCTGTCAACTTCCAAGACCATGGAGGGACCGTTAGAGATAAGGATCCAAAACCGAGTGGCTCAAGAGCGACTTCAACCTGGAGAACCTATAACAAACATGACAATCACGGGTGGGATTTTGAAGTACAAATTGGTAGCGAGGGAAGAGAGATTAGTCTACGTTCGGCCGATCCAATCCGATCAGGGCTACACCTGATTAGCAGCGCTTTAAATGACGAGACCGGGCACTTCACAGCTGGATACGTAACTCTGGGCGGTGCCCCTGAGAAACAGTTGCTACACGGGTTTGCGGGTGAGAGTAGCGCTGAGATTCTGCTACCTCTCAATGATCCTAAGCTTTCAACGGAGAAGTTCGGTGGCAAGGAAGGGAAATATAAATATGAGTTCCGCATTGATTGGGACGACAGGAAGGAAGTCAGACATGTCAATCTTGAGATTAAGGCCGGGAAACGAAGTCAGAATTATGCATTGTTCTACCAGTCGAAGCCCGACAAAGCAGAATCCATTGTGGCTGAACAGCTGTCCAGCTCTGTGGATGTGGGGTCGAAAAAGCTGAAAAAGCGGTTTGATAGTTGGCTCTTATCGGGGGAGAGCAGTGCAGAGCCAATTTCTACATGGTACCAGAAATATATCAAGTCGCCGCTCGATTCTGGCGAACTTTCAAAAAATTCGGAAAAATGGTTCCACACGCAAGAAGTGATTGATTTGACAAGTTTCTGTAGGTCAGCTGGGGAATTTGAAGAATCAAGGTTATCAGAGATGATTGGTGCCCGACTCTGGATCTGGGCTCAGCACCGCCTAAACCCCGAGCGAATAATGGAAGAGTTGGCTTCATTCCGTCCATTTCTTTTCTAGGTTTGAGCACCGAGAAAATTGTACGGTCTCGAGGCTTAAATAGGCTTCTAAACTGCCTGACTAGAGCCACAAAGCCTAAATAGTGAATTTTGGGGTTCATTGAGTTCGGAAATCTTCAGAGCTAGGGTGTTGACGCGCTCATAAGCCCGGATCTTTGTGCACTCATCGAGAGCCTCGCAGAAGATAGACAACCCTTTTCGATACGACAATAACAAGCGTCGGCTTTGCACTTACTGTTATGAATAACGTCTGCCACCGCCCAACGCCCGCCACCAACCAACGCCCCGCTCCGAGGCCAGCGAACGAGGCAACAAATGAAGCTATTCAGCCATGTACAACTTATATTTTGAAGAGATTTTTTGGTGTATTGTTCTTGAGCTTCTAAAGTATTTATATACAAATTTTAAGCGTCACGGAACGTGGGGGAGGCGTATTTGCCTGCCGCGACGACTTTGCGGTACAGAGGCCTCAGGGGACTCTTCAGGCGCTATAGAAGTAATATCTATAGTATTTTAACCAGTATTTGTTGTGGATTGCTTCTTTTGACCTCGCTTTGGTGTTCTGAAGCCGTTTTGAAGCTACCGAGCTGCCTCTTTATTAACTTGTTCTGCCTCCTTTTAACGCTTCTTTTCCTTTGCCTGGCACTCGCGAAGAACTTTATCAGCAGCTCGCTTTTCCTTTCTTTCTTGAAGTAATCGCTGTTTCTTTTCCTTTTTTTATTATTATTATTATTATTCTTCCATATTATAGAGCATTTTAAAAACAACTACGCACCCTCCAACCCAACCCCCACATTTGGGGGTATTGGGTACCGATTCGTACATCGTTTTATAGCCCTCTTCAAGCTTAGTCACTTCTCCACTTTTCTTGATACAACAGTCCAATCACGTTCCGTGTTTTGATAAAAAAGACTGCGATTTTCGTGTGAAAATTTTTTTTCGTGTTCCCGCGCTCCCGAGCTCGGGCTGCCGAGACCAACCACCAACGCAGTTCCTCTTTTCTGCCTCCCACTACCGCCACCTCCCGCCGCAGCCCGCAACAACGCCAACCAACACTGCATATTCGAACGGTCCCTGCAGAACACCCTACCTAGGGAAGGAAAGCTCTATAAGTCCACACTTATATCTACTCCCGCACCTACTAGGGGGTTCAAAGAACTCCTAGATAAGCCTCTTACTATTACATGTGATTGAAATTTTGATATCCTTGTGATACTTTTTGGCCACTACTAGTCACAGTTCTCTAGGCCTCTATAACACCATCACTGTCCTGGAGAGGGATAAGAGGTGGGGACCTAGCTGCCCTGCATACCATAGCAGTTATTTTAGCCTGGTATTCTGCAGAAACAACAAAAACCTTGCTTTTAGTTTACCACTTCTCTTCAAAAAGGGGTGAGATTTTTTCCTGCGTTTTACTCCACCAAAAACAGGAAGCTTGGACTGCCCAGTAGAATTCACTAGTAGGAAGCCTAAGTTTACCTGCAAGAAGAAACTGAGCTGTATCCCCAGCACTACTACAGTACTACTCCTAGCAATATCTTTCCAGAGCTAGTTAGCCTAGATAGGTAAAGGAAAACTAGTGTCGGAATAGAGATATAGGGAACAGTGGAACCGAGCTAGTAAACTTAAGCTGGTTTTTCGAAGCTTCCCTTAAAAAAAGCTTTCGTGGTTTAGTGATTCCCCTTAAAAATCTCTATTTATTAGCTAGATCCTCAGCTAGTAAATTATTAGGATCCCGCCTGGTTTACTTTTTCCACCTTTTTATTTCTTTTTTTTTTCCATTTATTTTTCCTTGTCTATCTGTGAGGAGAATGGGGTCTTTTGAAGACACAACTACCCCACTCAGGGACTCTTCCCCAACCCATCGCAGCCACCAAGTCCCAAAAAGGGGCCAAAGGCAAAAGAAAACACTCGTTCATCAGCCCAAAGGCAAAACTTGACTTCAGGCCTGATTCCAGTTCTCTTCCTGAGAGTGTGACGGCAGGCAAATCAGACAGATAAGATCATATCGAGTCCTATATCAAGAATACTAAAAGATGGGGAGGAAAGGAAGAAGGTAGAAGGGCGTTGTCATGGCGAGCGAGGATATGGTGGGAAGCTTCCTAGCCCTAGCCCTGTGCCCTCAGCCCTTATCCCAATACGCCGAATACGGCCTACGTGCAAACCATATAAACATCGCGTCACCGCGTTACCCTGAGCGCGGTGTCCAAAGCCAGGTCGTCACAGTTAGACTTCATCAGAGCCCACGAAAGCCCAAGCCCAACCCAACCCAACCCACTTGTGGGCTGGGCTTTGGGCCAGGTTCTAGGGCCCATGATAGGCTATAGGCTGAGCCCAGGGGCCCACGGCCCACAGATGGGGCCCAAATGGGCCCCCAAACTAGGCTAAACAGTGCAAACATGCCCCGATCTTATGACTGCATAACTTGTGCTTCTTTTTAGCTGTAATATTGAGTATTTCTCTTACATTATTTCTCTTAAAAATTGCTCTTTGTAATGTCTACTCCGCCTGGTTATATTTTACATTCTTACTCGCGCTGAAGCGTTCAGCATCGTGCAGAGTTTGGTTAACAAGATATTATTCAAAAGGCAGTAATTGAATATATTAATGATACTCAAACTCATTATCCTCCCTACTTTTCCGCTTTCTTCCTGAAACCCGTGTTTGCGTGATATTCTCTGGCAATTCAGGCTCTGTATAATCCTGTATCACTGCTACTGCCTCATATCTTCTTGTTCCTCAGTATCACTAATCGACTCTATCTCAATCTCCTCTAATTTCTCGTCTCTCTCTTCCTTTGCAGCCTCTATCTCATAGATAGAAAAGAATTCCTTGAGAAATTTTGCCTCTTGTTCTTCAAGATCAAATCTTGATGTACAAAGAAACATCATAATCCCTAATTTCTCAGACTTCATCCGACCGCGGCGGTAATGACAGATATCTCGAGCAGTATTAAAAAGTCGTTCAACACCAGCCCTGTTGCTGGAATAGAGAGAATATCCCGTGCAAGGGCTGCAATAGCTGGAAATCGATATTCATTGTCTCTCCAGAATTGAAGGGGCTCCACATCGATAGTATCTTTTAGGAAGTTAGGATTAGACTAAACAATAAGGTGTTTAACATACGCTGTAAGATATTAGTTATTTCATCCCTACTGGCTTTGCCTGTGGTTTGTGCCCATTCAACATCTTATTAAGCCTTGAGCTTGGTCTTGCTGCGGTAGGGGTGGTTGCAGAGCCTTGAAAGTAGAGAGACGTTCTTGATAAGGAACCAGGGCTTCTTGGAAGGATTTCCGGTAGAGGTCGCGCCATTGTTTATCCCAGTCATCAGATAGGAAGAATTGGAACTTATTATCGGGGCAAGCATTGTACTAATTGCATAGATATGTGGTTTAACCCTATCTGTCTGCGAGTAGTACTCATCAAGTTTTAATCGACCAGCTTAAGAGAATAAGCATCTGCTTTTTCCATGGAACACACCTTTCCGCCGAAGCTGCTTCATTGATTTTTCTAGATGCTCGAAGAGTGCATTGTAAATCTTAAAACAAGATGTATTGTTACCTCTCGAGTCTTTGATAGCTCGGTTGTATAGAGAAAGAACGGCTCAGTAATATAAAGAAGATAGTCAATTTGGCGCCACTCCTCATTATTTAGCAACATCTCTTCACAATCATAGTCGGCACAAAATCGTGTAAAGATATCACGGAGTCGTTTCGCGCGTCGAAGCATGAGAAAGGTTGAATTCCATCGAGTTCTCACATCTTGGATTGGTGTAAGCTTTGGATCATCTGTTTGAAGATTGTTGAATGCCTCTCGACGTGAAGGGCTTCCGTGGATATAAATTGCAAGAGAGCGGACCTTGTTTAAGGTATAAGAAATCTCATGCTTCTGGTGTTGTGTATTTGCCTTGGCTAAAGTTGACAGCCGGTCAGTCCACTTTGTTTCCTCGGTATTATTTAGTGGAACTGCCTTGAGACGGTCAAGAAGCTGGTTCAGGCTAAGTTGGATAACATGAGACAAGACAGGGAGTTCGGATAATATTAACATTATTAGATAAAGCCTGCTGGAGGGAATCAGCCAATGTCTTATTATTCGATGCATTATCACTGGTTAATCCAAAGACTTGGTCTTGAATCTGATGGCTGTTTAGTGTTTCTAGAACAACACCACTCATGTTCGAACCAGTATGCGCTCCGTGAAGAGGTTTAAAGCCAAGAAGTACTTCCCGATATACCCAATCAGCATCAATAAAGTAGCCAGTTATAGCTAGAAATGCCTGGGAAAACGGAGATGTCCAACTGTCAAGCGCAATTGATATCTTCGAACCTAAGGAAGCATCCTAAGAACACTTTGTTGCCGATCTTTGACAAGCACTTCTAGCCGACGACGTATCGTCATTGCAGATGGGATTTGTGGAGCAGTTGGTGCATTTGGGCCATCTGAATAAGCTTATAAATGTTGGATGCTCGATTAGGTAAAAGGAAGCCGATTGATTGAGAGAAATGATAAGATCTTCTCCTCCCAGGCTGGTTGTGAGAAAGGAACATCAGTCGGAGCAGATTTCTAGTAAAATAATTATTAATTAGTCAATAAAGCATAGTAATAGAACATTAGATATACTGTTTTTGGAGGAATTTAGTGATTTCATCCTTCTGTCTGTTCTCAAACCGTTGCACGCAGCAGTCTTTAGGTGCTTGTATTGTTGATAAACCATGCGCCCTTCCTTCCCTTTAGCATCCTTTTTTGTAGAGTAAGGATGTTCAAGGATCTGGCTGCAGCGTTTACACATGACCTTTGGTGCGCCGTCTATACTAGATGCGACCTGATCATAGTGCTTCCAAATATCTGAAAGGTGGTTTGAGTCCCAATGTATCTTACTTTGGGACCCATAATCAGTATGTAACCACCAGTCTACCCATTTATTATAAGTCATTTCGTTATAAAGCACATATGCCTTTCTTCTATCGGGCCCGACACGTTCAAGAGAGGATGGAATTGTAAG